CAAAATTCAAGAAGCAGACAGGCAAATGACTGCCAAAAGCATCTGTACAAGAAAAATTCCCTCAAAATGTCTGAGAATCTTCATATAGCTTCTACACAAGCTGTCAAGTTGATGCTAATAATACAGCTTCCTTTATACTATATTTTGAGTCTATATATAATTTAAATTCATTGTCTATTGCATCCAAATTTACTTTTAAACATTGTGTTCCATTTATGCATAGAAATTGTTGCTCTTTACATTAAACATAAAATGATAACATCAAGACTATTAAAAGGTGGACTAGATTGTAGATAGATATTCAGGGCCCAATCTGATGATAGTGTTTACTGAGATGTAGTTAGGTGGTTAATCTGAAGTCAAGTAAAAGGCAGGGTGGATTTGTAAATTATAAACTAACCAAAGGATGGAGATATAGATATAGATATATAGATATAGATATCTCCATCCTTTGGTTAGTCTACTCTGCCTTTTACTTTACTTCAGATATATATAGATATATATATAGATATAGATATCTGTCTATTGATCTATCGATAGATCAATAGATATATAGATAGATAGATCTAGATAGATCTAGATAGATAGATATAGCTATCTATCTATCTCACAGCATCTGCTGAAGTGAGCTTCAGCTAATAAAAGCTTATGAGATAGATCTGTGTGTGTGTGTGTGTGTGTGTGTATGTAAATACATATATATGTAAATATATATATATATATATGAGTGAGATAGATCTGATGTGCCCTGGTGGCGCATAAGTGCTGGGAGTGGCACATGCACCATGAGAAAGCCATGAGATAGAGGCAGGCTAGCCTGGCTGCACCTCTTGTCACTGTGTGCAGCTCTGTCCAGAGCCACACATCATTGTGCAGCAGCCCCATGAGTGCTCCAAAGGCCCCTGCCTTCTTCTGCTGCCACTGGTAGTGGGGGCTGTGTGCCATGGTAGGGAGTGTATTTGCTACATATATATATATACAGAATCATAAGCTTTTGTGAGCTGAAGCTCACTTCATCAGATGCTGTGAAAGGATGTGCAAAAAGCAGAGTATAAGGAGAGAGAATACCTGAGTTACAAATACCTTTGCAGTTCAGTGGGTGAGCCAAACCCAAGCTACTAGTTAATTATATTCCATTTTTTTATTTGCTGAAACAACATTGATAGCAAGAGGTCTAGGTCAAAAATGTTTTAAGGTCATGTTTGTTTTAAGGTCCTCTTTGTTTTAAGGTCATGTTTGATGACTTCAGCCATAAAGAACTCAGAATTCTTTAAAAGCCTGAACTAGGAGAGAACCAGATGTTCACCAGTTTATGGCAATATCATCTGGATTGAGAGAGACTTTAGACTAGGCTTGGGTAATTATGTCAGTGAGAGGGCCACTTAATGAATTTTGGCAAGCTGTCAAGAGCTGCAAGGGTACCCCTGCCCTTTGACAGGTGCCCCACCCCTTGATCTCTATCTTGGAACCAGAATTTCTGCCCCTAACCCGTCACCTTTGCCACCGGAAGTCCCTTCCCTTGCCTCCAGAAGTACTCATTTCTCTGAGGGAGTTGTTGCCATTTGAACCTGAAAAAATAAATCCTATACTAAAAGTAAAAAAAATTACTATAACATATTATAATTTTATTACAAAAAATATTTTTGTCATGACTTTTGTTTGTATACTATATATAGAGGTGATTACATAATAGGTCAAAATAAAGTTGTATTCTTGTATTTTGTGTGTGGGTTGTCGTTGTGGTGGCTGTGTGTGTGGTGTGGGTGGCATGTGTGTACATGTGGGGTTTGTGAGAAGGTGTGGCTGTGTGGGAGGGGTATAGGGTATGTAGTGGGGTGTGTGTATATGTGGGGGGTTGTGGAGGAAGGGTATGGGTGTGTGGGTTGTGAGGCAGGATGGGGGGCTGTGAGGACGCTCCCCCCATGTTGCACAGCCCCTGCCAGCAGCAGCAGCAGGCAGTGGGTGCTTGAGGTGCTCATGGCCCACACAGGTGCTGTGGCGTCTGCCAGAGTTGACCATGGTGACAAGGAGCACACTGGAGCTGGCTGCCTTTCACACTCTCTGCCACCATGGAAGCGGGGGATGGGGATCTCTGCCACTTTCAGCAAAGTCCTGAAACCTGCACATGGTGGGAAAGGTAGCCAGCTCCAGCATGCAGGACTTTCCTTGGTGGTGCATGAGTGCTGGGAGCTGCACATGCACTGCGAGCAACCTGCTAGCCTGGCTGCACTCTTGTCACTGTGTGGCAACCCCATGAATGCCCCAAGGGCCCCCACCTGCTGCTGCTGCTGCTGCCACTGGTAGCAGGGGCTGTGTGCCATGGGAGGGAGTGTGTGGGGAGTCAACACCCCCCCACACCCTCCCTAACACCCACACCTTGCCCACCTGCCTCGCCGGCGGGCATGGGCTCAGTGCTCTTGCCAACCCCAGATCCATGCTCCTCACCCAGCTGCAGCTCCCCCTGCCACAGCTCCCCCTGCCCTGACGCTTCCCTACCTGCTGCCCAGAGCAAGTGCTGTGGCAGGGAGACAAAGAGGAATTGCTGGACACTGGGGAAGCTGAGCAGGTCCCCCAGCGGCTGCAGCAGCAGCAGCCCTGCCCAGAAGCTGCATGCAGGCTAGACCGGACCCTTCTATGCACCAGGATGGGAGCAAAGTGTGTGGGCTATGTGGGGGTACAATTAGTTGGTGGGCACCTGTGGGCTGGATGGAATTGCCTGGTGGATCAGATCCGGCCCATGGGCCACATTTTGCCCCCCCCTGCTTTAGACAAGCTGGACTAGACAAAATCAGTTAATTACTTTGAAAAACAATGATGACAGCTTAGAACAATTAGTAAAACTTGCCTTTCATATTCATGTATTTACTATTTATAAAACATTCAACCAATTCAGCTGTAGACCTTTTTTTGTACACTGAAGGGACAAGCATAGCCTATGTGCATTTGCAGTACCCAGGCCCTCATTCCAGTCCAGTTAATCCCAGTGTAATTTAAAAGTGTATGCTAAATCACTCAAAGGCAGCTCTTGTAATGCATACACACAATAAAATCCTGCAAATGGAATGGACAGTTTGCCAACTCCTGTTGATTGCACCAATTTAAGTATGCTGCCTGGTTCCT